TGTTAGAAAGAACACCAGATATAAATGCCGCTCGGAGTCTTGTTTCTATCTCCAATGGAGCCCCAATTCTGCAAGATGTCACCATCATTGGGTCAACCTGCCCATGGCCAGCTTTGTCGTGTCAGTTTTAGTAGTCTCCACCAAATCTACCACTCTCTGCCATCACGTGTGAAGTTATGCCACCCCAGCTGCTGAGGTACGTTACGCCACTGCCAGAACCCCAGGTTGCAAGGTGGACTGCGCCTAGTAATGTTTTGCCTCCCTGGTACCTTCGGCGATTGACCAGAGGCTTGTCGCCTGTGTCTCGTTTATAGGGAACTCTCTCTGACCACCTCATAATTTCAAGTGGAGGAGTTCCTTTTACGAGCCTTTTATAATTTCACACTTGTTGGTGGCTTCTATCCTTCTGCCCTCAGCTGTCTGCCCCTTTCGATATGGTCCTAGGTGCGTAGTTTGTCTGGTATATATAAGAAAATAATTGTACCTGTGAGCCACGGTGTACAGTCAGCTGAAGTGAGTATTAATCTGAATGCTCGTTACCACAGTTAATTAACATCGACTAGCTTTTTTTTTTTTTTTTTTCAGGACAGTCTTCACTGTGCTCAGGGCGTACTAGGAGGTGCATGGGTCAGCCAGCGTCACCACGCAACCTCCAAACTCCCGCCCTGGGCCTTTTCAAAAAGCGCATCCTCCTGGCCTCAGCCTCCTAGTAGCTGGGACTACAGGCATGCGTGACCACCATGCCCGGCTCATTTTTTCTATATATTTTTAGTTGGCCAATTAATTTCCTTCTATTTTTAGTACAGAAGCGGTCTCGCTCTTGCTCAGGCTGGTTTCGAACTCCTGACCTTGAGCGATCCTCCCGCCTCGGCCCCCCAGAGTGCTAGGATGACAGGCTTGAGCCACCGCACCTGGCCAACATCGACTAAGCTTTGTTCTTACTCTGACATCCGACACACCCGAGGCCAGGGCTTGGAAGGTGAGGTCTGGGCGCTCAGCTCGTAGCCCAGGCTGCTGGTCCTGTAGGTGGGGACAGTCACACAAGAGATGGCCCACTCAATGACACAGTTCAGTGACCATGCTGAGCTGGGAGGGAGTCCGGCCATAGGTCTGTTCAAAGAAAGGAAGAGACCAAGGCAAGGCGAGCCATGCACCGAAGCTTGAACTCAGGCTTCCAGCAAAATCACTGCACCTCACTTTGTGATTGATAAGAATGGAATGATATGCTTGAATATCAAAAAGACATTTAGAAATTATAGGAAGGGAGGATTGGACTCAGAGTCGTGCAAAGGTCCATTGGAGAATTAATTAGCTGGGAAAGAATATTAGCTTAGTTTGACTATAATCTGCAGTTTCCAAACATTCCATAGGACTTTAGCCTTAAGAACTAGCCACTCTGCCGGGCAGTTTGTAAGATAAGAGCCATTAGTGGCATTATGTAGTTTAAAGGAGAGGACACGGAGGGAGTCGTTTGCTCATGCCGGTTATCTGCTCTCTGACAAGGTTAGGTGGCCACTGGGGACCTCATAATCCTCGTCATCGAACTACGAGTCAGAGTGCAAACCACGGCACCGTGAGCAGCTCTGAACTTTCCCCTTTATTTTAAACTTCAGAAATTTGTATGGAACAAGAAGATTTTATTTCTTTACTTTATTGGTGATTCATCTAAAATTAACCATTGTGATCTGTGTAGAAGTATTCTGATATACCTTCAGGAAGACAGGATTAATACAATATTTTAAAACTATAATAACTCTTCAGTGATAATGCATCTGAGGTATAATAGAACACTTTTTTTTTTCTTTTTTTAAGACAGAGTCTCACTCTGTTGCCCAGGCTAGAGTGCCGTGGCATCAGCCTAGCTCACAGCAACCTCCAACTCCTGGGCTCAAGCAATCCTCCTGCCTCAGCCTCCCAAGTAGCTGGGACTACAGGCATATGCCACCATGCCCGCCTCATTTTTTCTATATATTTTTAGTTGGCCAATTAATTTCTTTCTATTTATAGTAGAGACGGGGTCTCGCTCTTGCTCAGGCTGGTTTCGAACTCCTGACCTTGAGTGATCCACCGGCCTCGGCCTCCCAGAGTGCTAGGATGACAGGCATGAGCCACCGGGCCTGGTCTAACAGAACACTTTTTAAACTATTAAATGGATTTTATCAACAAGATATATTGGAGATGGAGCAATAGCACTTGCTACTATTCATGCCTACTGTGTTAGGCACTGAGCAAAGCACTCTCTATGGGATCTGATCTTGTATATGCCCTATAAAAACCTCTTAAGGTAAGAATCAATATTCTGATTGTACCGATAAGAAAATTATATCCATCTCTCCAAATAGATGGAAAAGCATAGTGGATTGTAAACTGGAGATTTTTATGGGCCAGGCCCGGTAATGGTCACATGCTAGTATGTGGTTGATCAGGGACCAAGCCAAGATCTGATCGACGCCATAGCCCAGGCCTATAACTTTGCCCTGCACTGCCTTAACACGTTAAATGGTATCCATCTAAAAAAGAAACGTATTCTGTCTGAATTTGCAGGGTAAAAAATAATAATAATAAAAATAAAAAAGAAATGTGAATAAAAGAGAGAATACAAATCTCTCTTTTTGGCTTTGAAACATATCTCATTCATTTGAGTGGTTGGAAAAGAACTAAGAGATATGGGAGGAAGCATTAGCTAAAGGCCCAGACCAATCCCCCAGAGTTGGTGGTTTAACATAATGGTTTTTGCTTTTATTTTCGTCCTCACATTCAAAACAGGGATTCCTGATAAGTGCGTAGTTTTAGTACAAGTGGAAATTCAGTTCTTTCCTTATCAGTACTATGCAGCTATAAGAAACAATAGTGATATAGCACCTCTTGTATTTTCCTGGATAGAGCTGGAACCCATTCTATTATGTGAGGTATCCCAAGAATGGAAAAACAAGCACCACATGTACTCACCAGCAAATTGGTATTAACTAATCAGCACATAAGTGGACATATAGGGATAACATTTATCAGGTGTTGAGCAGGTGGGAGGGAGGAGGAGGGGATGGATATAGACATACACAATGAATGGGATGTGTACCATCTGGGGGACGGTCACGCTTGAAGCCCTGACATAGGAGGGGGGTAGAGGGGGAGAAATGGCAATATATGTAACTAAACATTTGTACCCCCATAATATCCTGAAATTAAAAAAATTCTTTCCTTATCATGGCTTTGCCATCTTCAATAGTGACTTTCAAGGGTGGCCAAATAAATGCAAAAGCATAGTGGATTGTAAACTGAAGATTTGGCCAGGCCAAATAGGCCAAGTAGGCCAGGCCTGGTAATGTCACCTGTTTATCTCTTCTGCTTGTTTTCCACCAGCAAAAATTTAGTGACATCATTATACCTAACTGCAAGGCAAGCTGAGAAATAGTCTAGCTATATGTTATGGTTTGCATGTGTTCCTGAGATAGTATTAAAAGGTGGGGCCTTTAGGAGACAATTAAGTCATGAGTGGGATGACCTTATGAAAGAGGAATCTCTTTTGCCCCTTTGCGACATGAGGACATGCAAAAAGGTGCAAGCCATCACCAGACATGAAGCCTGCAGAGGCCTCGATCTTGGACTTTGCAGTCTTTATAACTAAGAGAAATAAAGTTTTATTATTTATAAATCACCCAGTCTGAGGTATTTTGTTATAGCAGCAGGAATGGATTAAGACACTATGTTATGAAAAAAAAAAAAAAGAGGGCAAGAGTCAAGTTTTGTGCTATGGCTTGGTGTTCTGGATATCAGAACTCTAGAGGTATAAAGTGCAATTTGGTAGTGGTAAAAAAAAATGTTGACCACTTGCATAGTTAAACAACCATTATCTCCAACTCTCTTTTCTTTACTTATTTTTGTTAACACTCTCCTTTTCAGTGTTTAACTTTTATTTTTTAATTCCACAAGAGGGACCTATGAACAGCTATTTCAAAACAATAAAATGCATAAAGGCCATGTGTACATGTGCAAATTTGTGTATTTTTGTTTGTCAGGGTTGGATGCATAGTCAGTATAAAGGCCTGTTTTGTATTTTGACTATTGCAGATTTCCCCCCCACATGACTTAGATATATATATATATTAATTGCAAATATATTGAATTATTATTTTATAGCAGTGAAAGGATCAGTGGGACTTATGCTTCCACTGTGGTGGACCCACAGGGACCAAGTTTGCCTCCCAGCTAAAACTACTGAAGACTGGACAGGACGCATGAAATGACGCCTTTTCAGACATTGGACAACTGGACCAGGGCGCTGCTATCCCTGGTAGAAGAAAAGCAAAAGAGGCAAGGGCGGTAATTGCTCCGTCTTGTTGACCGGAGGCATTTTTCAAGCCTCAGCACAGAGGGGTGAAACCCCGACAGAGCCCAGAGGTATCAATGCATCAAGGAAACAGAGATCAGAGTTTGGGAGGATGAGGCAGCACATTCTGTAAGACAGGAGCAAGCTGTGCATACAGAGGGCGCATACTAAAGGTCTGTAGAAGGCTCTGCTGAACTTTTTGGCTGAGTCCCGCCCTGCACCTGTCTCAGAGGAAGCTCCTGACTCACAGGCTAGGACTGAACCATCAGGAAACAGTACAATTCCTAGGAATAGTTCGTATTCCCATCAGCCGGAGTGCAAAAGCCCTTTTAAAAACCTTTATTTAAAAAATTTTAGAGATAGGCCGGGCGTGGTGGCTCACGCCTGTAATCCTAGCACTTTGGGAGGCCGAGGGGGCGATTGCTCAAGGTCAGGAGTTCGAAACCAGCCTGAGCGAGACCCCGTCTCTACCAAAAATAAAATAATTATATGACCAACTAAAAATATATATACAAAAAATTAGCCGGGCATGGTGGCGCATGCCCTGTAGTCCCAGCTACTCAGCGAGGCTGGGCAGGAGGATCGCTGCTGAGCCCAGGAGTGGAGGTTGCTGTGAGCGAGGCTGACGCCACGGCACTCACTCTAGCCTGGGCAACAAAGCGAGACTCTGTCTCAAAAAAAAAAAATTTTAGAGATAGAGTCTTACTCTGTTGCCCGGGCTGGAGTGCCATGGATATTCACAGGCATAATTATAACACACTATATCCTCATTCTGCTAGCCTCAAGTGATCCTCCCACCTCAGCCTCCTGAGTAGCTGGGACTACAGGTATGCACCACCATGCCTGGTGGAAAAACTTTTTAATATACAGGCATTGGGTAGAATCCTCAGAAAGATATCACCTTCATAGAGGAGATAATTTAGACCTAAACTAGAGGCTGCTATGGACATATCCTAACAAAGTTAAAAGTAAATTTGAAAGGATCAAACTAACTCCAAGTAATTTAACTGTGTCTCAGAAGAAGTTTCTATAGTATTTAAAGGAGTACAACAAAATATAGTACTACCCAGCAGGATAAAATTCACAATATTCAACAGCCAAACAAAAATTACTAGACAGGCAAAGAAGCAGAAAGATATGTCCCTTTACCAAGAGCACAGTCAATCAATAGAAACAAACCCATAATTACAGGGACTATTGTATTAATAATAATTAATCTGGGAGGATGCAGAAAAAGAGGTGAAAAAAAAGTACAAGAAACAGGTGAGACAAATAGGAAACAAATAAGAAGATGGTAGATTTAAACCCAACCCAGCAATCCTATTTCTTACTACTACTCAAATGAAATGAAACGTGTCCACACAAAAACTTGTTTGCAAATGTACATAATCTGTAAACAACTCAAATGTCAATCAGCTGGTGAATGGATAAACAAATAATGAAGTACACTGATATTCAGCAGTAAAAAGAAACAAACTACTTATGCATGCAAGACATGGATGAATCTGAAAATTATGTTGAGGGGGAGAAGCTATTGATAAAAAAGTACACACTGTATGCTTTCTGCTATTTTTGTTTTTGTTTTTAGAGACAAGGTCTTGTTGTGTTGCCCAGGCTGGCATACTGGGCTACAGCGATGTGATTATAGCTCACTGTAACCTTGAACTTTTGGGCTCAAGCGATTCTCCTGCCTCAGCCTCCCAAAGTGCTAGAAATACACTTGTGAGCTGCTATGCCTGTCCCCTATATACTAAATGATTCCATTTATATGAAATTCTAGAAAAGGCAAAACTATAGCAACAGAAAGATCAGTAGTTGTTAGAAGCAGATGGAGAGGGTTAACTACAAAGGAGCAAGGAAGGAATTTGGAAGGGGGGGTCATGAAATTGTTCTATATGTTGACTGTGATGGTGGTTATACAGCTATATACATTTGTCAAGATTCATTGAATTGTACATTTAATATTACCCCCTCCATAGAGCTGACATTCAAATGAATTAATGATTTGATAACCACATCTTTAAAAATAGCAAGTTGACATTACAGGGAGCTGGTAAACACCCTTGAAATAAGACCCCGGGCGTGGGGAGATGAAGGGTAACTCATTTGGAAGAATGTGAGGGGAAAAAAAATCAGAAGAATAGCCCCTGTTCCAGGAATCCCAGGACCGAGTATATTAATAGAGACCCTAATCCCTTCTCTATAGGAGTCTGTTAAAATGTCCCCGAGAGCTTTGGCTACTGTCTTATCTAAACAGAAAGAGTGACTTCATTACAGCCAGTCTGCTAACTGATTTCATGGTGAAGGCATCAGGAAATACAGGGAGTTGGAAGACCCTTGTATTTGCTACCTAGCTCCAAAGAGCAAACAAACAGGCCTCATTTAGCTAATCGAGGCCAACTGCTTTTGGTCTTAAGCAGTCACTGGATTAGGGACAGATGACAAATGCTTTTGAGATAGATGTGTGCAAACCATTTTAGAGCCTGAGGCAGAGCATATCATACTACAAGTGGAGCAACGGAGGGCATAGCTGGGAAAAGAAAGCAAACCGTAAACTAAGGAGAAAGTTGACATTAATGCCAAAAAAAAAGTTAGAAAGAGGGGCTGAAGACGCACCTGTCTGCTTCTAAGGCTCATGAAAGGATTTAGAGAAAAAAAAGTGAATGCAATTAACTTTCCATCCTATCTGCTTATATAGACTCCCTCATTTAACTACTTCACGCTTAACAACCTGGTAATGGGAAAACAAAAAAATTTTAAAAAAAAAAAAAAAAAAAAAAAAATTTTAAAAGCTTGAACAAATGCAGAAATGTATCAAAATGAAAACTGAAAGTATCTCTTTCCAGTTACCCATGCTTATACCCTTCCAGAAACATGAGCAGCCGTAACGTCTCCTGGCTTTTGTATAAATGTGATCTTTATGCTGTAGCACCTACGATTTTCAGATTTCTTATTTATAATTTTGATACATATTTATGTCATCAAGCATCACTCTGATTTTCCCTTTAAAATCTCTGTTCTCCTATTGGCCTTGACTGTTCT